GCGGCAACGGGGCCGCGAAGGGGCCGCGAGGGGCCTGGAAGGGCGGCAATGGGGCCGCTAAGAGTAGCACGAGGGGCACGCCACGAGGCGTGCCGAACACAGAGTAGCAGCGGGAGCAGTTGAGTGGGCCCACAGGCCAGGACCGTAGATGCTCTGATAGCATGTGAAGTTTAGGACGAGAATGAAGAAAATGGAAGGGGTTTCACTAGCAACAGTTGGGATACATGTAGCAAACCCTAACAGGGTTGTACTCGCTATAGAGCACCCCACTACAGGCTAGATAATTATAACATTCTGAATTAGGAGCCGTTGCTCTCACACTCTCTTGTAAGCACGTGCAGTCACAATTGCACCTAGCACCTAGAACGCCCGGCGTCCTTCGACATAGACGAGCACATTAACCTCGCCGACCTCACGCATGAGTGCCTAGATGAGCTTATGCGGCAACTGCACGAAAGCACACTAGATATTGTGACGCTGACGGCAGAGCGCAAATCCCTCTATTTTTCTCAGCCCATCCCACAAAAAAACAGACGCAGGCAACACCAGCAGCACCGGCAGCAGCAACACCGTCCCGACATGAGAGTGTGGGACAGCGCTCAGCCGCCACCAGTGAGGGCGCCATACGTGACAAAGTGCGTGGCACCCGCAGTACGACACATCCCGAAAAGATGCCAGTGGCAGAATCACCACACGAGGATCGCCGTCGCGTTACCATTGAAAATGACAACTCGGCAATCATATCACCCAAGCCATTCAAGCCTCAACGTCCCCCGTCATTTTACCCGGGTCAACGGGGTGGCCTGACGGTTCAATCGTGGATTTTCACAATGAATGTATTTTTTTACGCCAGGCTTTTTTCGACGCCAACTACGTCACGTCTGACTCAGCCAAAACTCGTTATGTCGTGTCGTTACGACAAGGACCCACCATGGATTGGTGGAATGTCATCACCACTGCGCCGATCGACTACAAGCCCCTAGTGTTATTCTTCTGTTATTATTCTCCCTCTGTCTCGTTCTTCCACCAAAACCCATATCTCCCAGTATGTTTAAAAAACCCTAGTTTCTCCTTTAGCCTCTTCCTCTCCCACCTCTCCCTCTCTTCCTTGCTTTCCTCCATCCATTAAAACCTCATCTCATGCCATGTTGGTGTAGCTTTTGAGAACAACACCCTCATGCCACATCTCCACACTCTAGTTTCCTCCTTACCCTCTCCCTCGCCTACTTCTCTCCCCTGGACCCTCATCTCACACCATGGCTTGCCCTTAGTATTCCTCTTCCCTCTCTCCCCTTCCTCCACACCCTCATCTCCCGGCATGTTCTCCAAACCCTGGCTTCCCCACCCTAGTTTTCCCCTAAACTAGACTCTCCTTTTCCTTCTCACTCCTTCCCACCCTCCCTCATCCCTTTCCTTCCTACTTCCACCAGACCCTCATCTCCCGCCACGTTCTCCAAACCTCGGCTTCCGGGCCTATCGATCTGTTTCTGCACGTCGTGCTTCTAGACCATGGCGTCATCACTGCTCAGGATGACACCAGCACCAGTGGCGGCGGCGGCAGCAGCAGTGGCGGCGGCGGCAGCAGCGAGAGCGGGAAGCAGATTGGGGAGCAACAGGCGGACACTGAATCAGAAGCCACGAGCGAGGGAGTAGCAGAAGGAGTAGGAGGGATGGGGTGAAAACAACAGGGTGGAGAAATACATAAGGATAAGGGAGCAGCATGAGGAGCAGCATCAGTGCTCGATTCAACCCCAAACATCTACACGCCAGCACAGCGGATAGCGCTAGCAAAGCTGCTCCCAGCAGGCAGTTCCAGAGAGAGAGTGTAGAGGATGATAGCGGATCTTGAGGGCAAGGAGGTAGAGGCGGGTGCTGCTGCCCATGCAGGAAGTTGCCGAGAAGGATCTTGGCATTTGGCTCAAGCACCCGATTAAGAAGTCTGAGCGGGCTCTACTCTTTTCATTGAACAAGGTGAGACATGGTTTAGGGCTCGGTTCTTGAGGAGTCTGAAATCCCGGACAAGTAGGCTGAGCGTGCACTACTCTTTTTTATGAAGAAGGTGAGGTGAGGGTTGCGCTTAGCGTTTAGACTATGTTAGGGCAAAAACCGTGCCAGCTGGTGCTGACTTTGTGCTTTGGTTGATGCGCTTAGTGTTAAACTCAGCTCTTTCTTCAACCGCCCTTCCCGACCAACAGATCCTTCAGCCACAGCTCGAGGCAGAGGAGGATGATGTTAAGACCATGGAACTTCAAGCCTAGTCTCTTCGCTTTAGTGGCTGCCAAACACTTCTCTTCTCTCTTCACCCTCCTTCACCCACCAACAGAGTCTTCAGCTACAGCTCGAGGCAGAGGAGGATGCTATTGAAGCGGTTATGCTTAGGCTGTGCTATCTCGTGTTAAGATGTTAGGTCGTATCTCGGGCTCGTCTCAATCTTGGTTGGTGTCAACTGCTCAACAAGGAAAAATCAGGGAGTTCTAGTCCTCCTGGTATCAGCTAAACCGACCAATGTGATCACGGGAAGTTGCCCAATGTGCCCAACATTGACACCAGGCTGGAGCCACGTGCGAGCGCAGCTCCACCTCGTGTCAAGCGCGTTTGGCGTCTGACATCAACCGCAGATTGACACGAGCCAGGGATACTACCTTACTGTGCTGTGTTGTGTTCTCCCCGCCCTCCCTTCACCCACCAACAGAGTCTTTTGCTGTAGCTCGAGGCGGAGGACGATGTTGTTTTCGTATGAATCGCTACTTGTTGTAAGTCATCTCAAATCAACCCCTTATGTGTCGTTCTCTTTATTTCTCCCTCCCTTCCCCCTTGCCAACAAAATCTTCAGCTACAGCTCGAGGCAGAGGAGGATGTTGTTCCCTCATTGTGGCTCTTCTCTTCATGGAGGTACTCCCCTCTCCCTCTGTTTTCCCCTGCCCTTTATCCCTGCTTGTTTTTTTCCATCTTTCTACTCCTCTTTCTTATCCTCTTTCTTCTTCTCTTTCCTCTCCGCTTTCTCCCGTTTTTTTTCTTCTGCTCATTCTTCCGCATCTGCCTATTCTCCCTTCCACACCTTCCCTGCTTCCTTCTTTCCTTCTTGCACATAAGCTTCCATCATCATGGCTCCTTGTAGAATGAACACAGTCGTTCCATTCCTCGTTCCCTCTTATCTCTTTCACTCTTCGCTCATCTCTCGCGCCCCTATCTTTCTCTGCACCTACTGCCTCGTCTCTCCCCCCTTTTACCCCCCACACAGGCACACAAGAAGGCCCTTCAGGTCCCTGGCCGCGCTCTCTCTGCCATCATCACCCATCTCAAGTCCTCTCTCTCTCCCGCAGACTTCTCCTCTCTCTCCACCTTGCACTTTGCTGTTGTCGCGCCCATTGGCAAAAGCACAGCAGGGGAGAGAGGGCAGGCGGGGGAGGGGGAAGGGGGGGAGGGAGTGGAGGAGAGGGTGCATATGGAAGCGCTGCTGAAGGGGCCGAACGAGGTAGCTCTGGGGAAAGCCAATTTGGGTACAGTAAGGGCGATGATGGTGATGAGTGATATGTGCGTCGTTGTGACAGACTAAGCGCACAGCAGGGGGGAGAGGGCAAATTGGGGAGGGGGAAATTGAACATCGTCGTGCACATGCACTTCCCTCCCTTTGAACTCGTATGCATTCTCGTCCCAAGTTTTCCTAAATTCCGTTGTATCTGTAGAATGCCATCTAGCCTATACTGCAAGTGATTTTACTGTAGTCATATTCCTATCTATAGCGGATATTCCCTTGCGCGTGCTGTGCGACTCGATCCGTATTCGAGATCTTTCAGCCTTCAATAGGGACGTGGTGCAGTTCGCCTCTGATCGCGCATGATTGCAACGATCACTGGCGATTAGTCCATTCCTGGAAGGTACTACGGTTTTTTAGTCAATTAGGGGCAATCACTAGATTGCGATCAGGGCTTCTATTAGTCCCGATTGATCGCCTCGATCACACGCAATCAATTGCGGTTGATTGCGATCGGCAGCTTGGGTGTGGTGTGATCCGTACCTGCGAAAGAAGGTCCACGAAAGTAACAAACCTCCTCTAAAGTCCCCTTTGCGACATCGGAACTTGAGATCTGTGACTTGACTGTGCTACTCTGCAATTCGAATCTGAGACTATTTCGCACTGTATCGCCAAATCACCCTCGGAAGGGACTTTGTTGATGTCAAGAAAGCTCGTCCATGCTGCTTTCTCAATTGTCTGCTTAATCGCGCGGCTCGTTAGAAATCTCTAGTCGTGCAGTAGCCACAACAATCCGATCTGATCAGGTGAACTGCACCACGTCCTAAGTTCCCCTCACACATTTGCTCTTCGCTTGTATGGCCATGCTTGTTTGCCTCCGCTTTCAGTGTCTCGTCTCCAGTTTCAAAGCGCTTATCATTCGATGCACATAGCACGAGAGACCTAGGGGTTGGGCATGGTTACATCCCCATCCGTTCTTTTCTCGTTAGGGAGTAAATTTGCGACGCGCACTGACACTCCAGCAGTATAGCTAGAGTCAGGCATGGCAGTGGGGTCTGGTTACCACGCCGAGGCAGGTTTCGCCACGGCTGGCGAAACCCGCGTAATGCATCGTAATTCGAGTTGCTCTTCGCCGAGCGTAGTTACCGACGACGTCAGATTACCCTATGACAGTTTCGCCGGGTCGCAGGGTGTCGCCAAATCACAGCTCAGTAACGCGATTGGCCCAATACCCGCTGTAAGTGCTGCTGCGGCGGCAGCGGCAGCGGCGGCGGCAGCGGCAGCGGCGGCGGCGACGGCTGCGTCATTTGCAGCAACTCCTAGACAAGCGAATGGCCGATCCAGTGTCTGTCACGTCGTGGGCGCTCTGAACCGTCTTTTCTCCAAACCGATCGTCGCGCGATCGACGTTCTCACATGTACCCGTTACAAGACGTCCCGTTGGTAGCGCCTCGGCTTTACCCTCCCGTATTCCTCACAGTGCGCCGAGCTCCGCTCTCGCGATCCTCGCTTCCCGCGCCAGTCAAATGGCCAAGGATCCCCTCATTCGATTTAGTCACATCGCATACCATCAACGGCTCCTGACCTCCTACGGATCCGCGTTTTCCTCATCCTCCCTCGTCCAACTCGCCAAATCCGGTCTATTCCGCCCGCCATTCGCGCTGTCCGCGTTAGTAGCACCACCCGTTAACAGGATCGGTTCGTCTGCCGTCAGGTCATCGTTATTGCACTCAGCAGTAACCTCGGGATCATCAGCAGCGGCAGGCAGAGCGGGAGGAGGTTCGGGGTCGTCAGTACGGCCGGATAGGGGATTTAAACTGCACCTGCCCAAGCATGGTCCGCATAAGCTGCTTCCGCGTCCCCCAGCGCGCGGGAAGGCGAAACCCGCAGCTCCCCCCCCACCCGCGCCCAGTTTCCGCGGATCTGGCGCCGTCCCCCGCTTCTCCGCCCCCAGTGCTGGCCCCAGCGGGGCCGCTGGCCCTTCGAGTTCCGCTGCCCGTTCCGCCCACCGCCCCGCCCCCCGCCCCTCCCCCCGCGCCCTCCCTCACTCCCCCGCCGCTAGGCAGCTGGGTGTTGAGTTAGGTGCTTTGAGGCCGAAAGCAGTGACTAAGGAAGTGACTATAGCGAAAGGAGTGGGCACGGGGGTGCTTAAGGCGAAAATCCAAAAGGCTGACGCAGCAATTAAGCCGCGATCTGTAGCTACAGCTGCCGCTACAGATGCCGGCAGGGCGGCAAGCTCGCGAGCTGGGAGTGCGGCTGTCGCAGTGGCAGAGGCTACTGATGGCTCACAGGTAGACACAAGAGATCTGATTCAATGAGAGAAGCGGCAGGCAGTTACAGGTAGATGCACGTGTAGAAAGTGTAGTTTTGAGACGTCTCAAAACTACGCTTTCTACACAAGGGAGTTGATTCAATGAGAGAAGCGGCTGGTAGTTACAGGTAGATGCAGAGAGGGGGGGGAAGGCAGGGGAAGGAGTGAGGATGGAAACGGCATTGCCACATTGGTAGCTTTGGAAGTCGGGAAGGGTGAGGAAAGGTTAGGGTTGTTTGTGCCTTTTGTATTCGTTCGTGCAACTGTTCAATACGTTGCTGATGCCTGTCAACCATAGTAAATAAGCCCCTCTTGATTTCTCCATCTGCCCGCCTCCCTCCCTGCAAAGCACTCAGACCACCAGTGGGCCCAGCACAGGCTTTAAGGAGGAGGAGAGATAGAAGCAGCGTCCCCCACCACTTTCTGTGGCCTGTCGTTACTCGTGATTGGCTGTGCTTCTCTCTGCCCTCCTCCCTGCAAAGCACTCAGATCAGACCACCGGTGCACCCAGCGCGGGATTTAAGGAGGAGGAGAAATATCCAGAGCATCTCCCCCCACCCCGACCTGTGACCTGTCCTTACCCGTGGTTTGGCTGTGCTTTTGTTTGCTCACCTCCCTGCAAAGCACTCAGACCACCGGTGCACCCACGACAGGCTTTAAGGGGGAGGGCTTGTGACAGCAGCTTCCCCACCCGTACCCGTGACCTGTCCTGTCCTTACCCATGTTCTGGCTGTGCTTCTCTCTGCCCTCCTCCCTGCAAAGCACTCAGTTCACCGGTGGGCCCAGCGCAGGCTTTAAGGAGGAGGAGTGGCAGCAGCAGCTGGCGCTGTTTGCTGGCGACAGTGGGAGGAGGGAGATGGTTCTCACGGGCAAGGAGAGCCGGCGCTACGAGCAGGACATAAAAAGGATTGCTGCTCAATTCCGCCTTCACAGGTGAGCTCCGGGTTTAGGGTTTAAGGAGTCAGGATTTAGGGTGGTGGAGGGGACGGTGGGAGGGGTTTTTTTCAGGTTTGAGGTTGAGTGAGATGGTTCTGGATATTAGGGTATGGTGGACGTTAGTGCTCAGGTTTGAAGTGGAAAGGGGTGGCTCTGACCAGTAAGGATAGCCGGTAGTATGAAGCCTGGGTTTGGGGTTTTGGGTTTTAGACTCAGGGTCTTGGAGTGTTGGTGTAGGTTGAGAGGTTGGGAGATGGTGCTGACGGGCAAGGAGGACGGCTTTGGATAATTCTCACTCAGATGTGAGCAGGAGGAGGGCATCAAGAGAATCGCACCTCATTTCTGCATTTGCAGGTGGGTTCTGGGGTTAGGGTTCAAGTGTTTTGGATACTAGGGCGGCAAGTGGGTTTTAAGCTGCGGTTTCTGGGGTTGGCGGGCGCTTAGGATGAGGGGTTTTAAGTTTAGGGAGACGGTTCTGACGACGGGCAAAGGGAGTCAGGGATCTCCTCTTGTTGTCTGCTCATGCCTAGTCAGCTGTACGAGCAGGGAATCGAGAGGATTGCTGCATTTTTTTTTTTAGTGCCTTGGTAGAGTCGGTTGTAGGAGCAGGACATTTTTGTCCTCAGCAAAGAACCCTCTGTTCTCTTATGAGGCGCCTCACTCTCACGCACTCTCCTCCTCCCCCTGTTCCCCCTTTCGCCCCACCCCCCTCATCTCCCAACCCATCTCCCCCCCCTCGTCCTCCCATCAGTCACATGTACAACAAGTCCTTCGTCCTCCTCAGCAAGGGCCCTCTGCTCTCTCAGAACTCTCACTTCCCGCTCACCCACTTACCACCTCGCCCATTTCCCCCTCCCCCCATTCAGTCACATGCATGTACAACTCGTCTCTCGTCCTCACCAAGGACTTTCTGCCTCTTATGAGGCGCCTCATTCACACACATTCTCTAATTCCCCAACTCCTCATTCCCCTATCTCCCCCCCCCTGCTCCATCCCATCAGTCGCATGCACAACTCGTCTGTCGTCCTCAGCAAGGACTTTCTGCCTCTCACGAGGTGCCTCACTCACACACATGCTCCGCTTCACCCCGTACCCCCTTCCTCTCCCCTCTTTCCCCTCCCCCTCCCCCCCATCAGTCGCATGTACAACAAGTCCCTCGTCCTAAGCAAGGACCCTCTGCCACACTACCGCCCAGAGCTCGACTCTCGGCGGCCGCAGCGACAGGTGGGTGCGATGCGGTGCAGTGCGGTTAAATGTGGCCTGTTGGGACATGGTCTTGATACTCTGGAGTAGAAAGCAGTGCTGTGCGGTGCAATGTGTTTCAGTGCTGTGTCTTACACTGGAAGAGTGGGCTGCGCACTGCGGTGCAGTACGGTGCTTTTCGGTATGTGCCAGTTTTGTGAGTTATGTCTCAGTGAAGTGCTTCTAGGAGTGGCTGGGTAGTGCAGTTTACCTCCCCTGATCCTCTCGGCTTCCAGACATGTGAGTTCCCTTCACACATGTACTTTCGGTCGAGTGTTTCCTCTTTGCCTGTCCTACTTGTCTTCTCGACTCGCCCCTGCGCTGCAGCTGAGTTTCGTCCCGGTATTTTTTGGGGGGATTGACAGAGTGGTGGCGGGTGCAGGGGCAGCAGGGTGAAGTGCTCTATAGGTCTCCCTCCTTGTCACATGTGGGGCTGATTCTTTCCTTGTTGCTTCTCCTCCTTCTCTTCACTTGTCGCTGCAGCTGAGTTTCCCGCCGGAGATTCTTGAAGCAATTGACAGAGTGGTGGCGGATGTGAAGGCGAAGCGCGAGAGAGAGGAGAGCGAGAGGGAAGAGAGGGAGAGGGAAGAGAGTAAAGCTGCTTTAGCTGCTGCTGGTGGTGTTGGTGGAGAGAAGCAAGGCGTGGCAGGGCGAGGGCTGACGGGGTTGCAAGGGGCCAAGGGCGAGGAGGAGGAGGGGGGGGACGAGGAGGATGGGGGGGAGGAAGAAGAGGGGGGCGCGGTTCGTGGTGGAGCGAGGGAGGAAGCGGAGGAGGTGGAGGAGAGGAGGAGATGGCAGTTGTGGAGGATCAATGAGAGCTTGAAGCGAAGACAGCAACAATGGCAGGTAAATGGGAGAGGAAAGCAGGGGGAAGAGGGAGGGGAACTGGGGGGTTTGGGGAGGAGGTGGAGGAGAGGAGGAGATGGCAAATGTGGAGGATTAATGAGAGCTTGAAACGCAGACAGCAGCAGTGGCAGGTACGTGAAGGGGGAAAGAAGGGGGGAGAGGGATGGGAGGGGGGGTTGGGGGGTGAGGGGGAAGGGTTGTAGCAGACTCAATAGTAGAATAGAATCTATGGTATTCAATCAGTTGATTAATTGACCTTTAAGTTTCGACAAATTACTAATCATTAGTACACCGACACATTCACACACGGACACATAAAGACATGCATTTGGTGTCTTATACACATTCACGCATACATAAGTTCTGTCATCATGTATCACCCAAAAAGGCATCCATTCATTCTCTCCTTAATGCATGGCCATATGTGCGCATGCCCGCGCACGCTCACACTCGCACATGCATACCATCACCCATGCTGTTTTGAGAATGTTAGATATGATCCAGCGAGCAGCAGTATACATGCATACCATCTCCCATGCTGATTTCTTCTCTGCATGCTCCGCTTCCCTGCAGGCATCACCGGAAGGGGCATCCATGCTGGCGTTGAGACAGAGCCTGCCCGCGTGGAAGGAGCGAGAGCGGCTGCTACAGGCCGTGCGAAATAACCAGGTAGGCTTGGGTTCGGGTGCAGTCTTGTAGTGAGCTCTAGCTTAACAGCTGTTGCTGGCGTTGAGGCAGAGCCTGCCCGCATGGAAGGAGCGAGAGCAGCTGCTACAGGCAGTCCGAAGAAACCAGGTAACCATGGGCTCGGGTGAAATATTGTGCTGTAGGCAGGCTGTCTAATTCAACCAGATAACCGCGAGATGGGCCTGACTGCTCTTGCTGACGTTGAGGCAGAGCCTTCCTGCGTGGAATGAGGCGAGAGCGGCTGCTGCAGGCAGTGCGAAACAACCAGGTAGTGCCTGGCTGTTCTATGGCAGAGCAGTGCTTCTTTGTTCAATCAGTTGCCTCCGTGTCATGTTGTGTATCACTGCTGCAGGTGGTTGTTTCGGCCAAAACAGGGTGTGGCAAGACAACAGGGTGTGGCAAGACAACAGGGTGTGGCAAGACAACAGGGTGTGGCAAGACAACACAGCTGCCTCAGTACCTTCTGGAAGAGGCAGTGGAGTCGGGAGAAGGAGTGCAGAGCTCTTCCATTGGAACTGAACAACCTTTCAGTTCCCCTCCCACTGGCATGCCATGTCATGCCACAGGTGGTGGTGGTGTCCAGCGAGACGGAGTGTTTCAAGTCCACGCAGCTGCCACAGTATCTGCTGGAAGACGCAGTGGAGTCGGGGCAGGGAGCACAGAGCTCCATGTCCCACACCCAGAGCAATGCTTTGTTCAATCAGTTGCCACCGTGTCCTGTCGTGCCCTGCCGCTACAGGTGGTGGTGGTGTCTGGCGAGACGGGGTGTGGCAAGACCACCCAGCTGCCGCAGTACCTGCTGGAAGATGCTGTGGAGTCGGGGGAAGGAGCACAGAGCTCCATCATTTGCACCACCTTTCCATTCCCCTTCCCTCCCGTCCCACTGCCATCCCATTCCATGCCACAGGTGGTTGTAGTGTCGGGCGAGACGGGGTGTGGCAAGACCACCCAGCTGCCGCAGTACCTGCTGGAAGATGCCGTGGAGTTGGGGGAAGGGGCGCAGAGCTCCATTATATGCACTCAGCCCCGGAGGATATCGGCGGTGGCGGTGGCAGAGAGGGTGGCTGCTGAAAGAGGGGAAAGCATTGGACAGTCGGTGAGTGCTCTGAGTCAACCCAAGCTAGCTAAAGTCAAGGGGAAGAAAGGCAGGGCAGGGAGCGCAGTGCTCCGTCATTTGCACACAGCCTTGGCGGATATCGGCAGTGGCAGTGGCAGGGAGGGTTGCTGTCGAAAGAGGGCAATAGGTGCTCTAGAGGCAAAGGGTATTGAGAGGGGCAGGGCAGGGAGTGCAGTGCTCTATCATTTGCACACAGCCGTGGCTTGGCGGGTATCGGCAGTGGCAGTGGCAGAGAGGGTTGCTGCTCAAAGGGGGGAGAGCATTGGGCATAGGTAAGTCAACCAAGTCAACAATCGTCAGTCAGTGCGTTTCTTGAGTCAACGCTGGTCAACCAAAGTCAAGGATATGGTTGAAGAAAGCAGAGAGGTCCATCATTTGTACTGAGATGCTGCAGAGAGCAGCATCTCAGAGAGGTGCTGCTGAGACAACTGGCATCCGAGCCACGCTTGTCACACACTCCCGACCACTCCCCTCACTCTACCTCACTCTGCCACATCCCTTTTCAGGTGGGGTACCAAGTACGTTTGGAGACGCATAGGAGCAGGGCCACGCACATGCTGTTCTGCACCACCGGTGAGGGAGAGGGGTGCTGCTGAGACGACTGCGTTTGATGTCTCCCCCCCCCCCCCCCCACTTCCACTGCCTCTCACCACAAACAAACTCCCCTTCCTTTTCACTTACCAGGTGGGGTACTGGGTCTTCTTGGAAGCGCCAAGGAGCAGGGCCGGCCACCCATCTGCTGTTGAGGCGCCTCAAAAGGAGCAGGGCCGGCCACCCATCTGCTGTTGAGGCGCCTCAAAAGGAGCAGGGCCGGCCACCCATCTGCTGTTCTGCACCACGGGCGTGCCGCTGAGACAACCTGCATTGGCTCCTTTACCCCCATGCAATGCCTCCCTCCCCACCCCTACCCCCGCAAACCAGGTGGGGTATTAAGTCCGCTTGGAAGCGCGCCTTGGCAGGGCCACACACCTGCTGTTCTGCACCACGGGCGTGCCGCTGAGACGACTGGCGTCCGGCCCGCCCTTGCCCACACACCCCCCCCAACACACCCACCCCTCCACTCCCCCTCACTCTGCCACATCCGTTTTCAGGTGGGTTGCCAAGTTCGTCTAGAAGCTCGAAGGACCAGAGCGACGCACCTGCTGTTCTGCAGCACTGGCATGCTGCTGCTGCGGCGACTGGCATCTGACCCTTGTCTCCCCATCCATCCACTGCCTAGCCTTCCCCCTTGTCTAACCAGGTGGGGTACCAGGTGGGGTACCAGGTGCGTGCGCTTAGAGGCGCGCAGGAGCAGAGGCAGCCACCGACCTGCTGTTGTGCAACACCAGCGTGCCGCTGAGACCAATGGCTCCTGACCCCTTGTTTCCCGCTCCACTGCCTCTCACTCACCACTACCCCCCAACCCCTTCCAAACTCGTGGGGTACCAAGTGCGTCTGGAAGCGCGCACGAGCCGGGTCACACACCTGCTGTTCTGCACCACAAGGGTTCTTCTGAGACGACTGGCGTCCGACCCTTTCCCCCCCATCCACTGGCTGTCACCACCACCACCACCCCCCCTTTTCACTCACCAGGTGGGGTACCAAGTGCGGTTGGAAGCGCGCAGGAGCAGAGCCACCCACCTGCTGTTCTGCACCACTGGCGTGCTGCTGAGACGACTGGCGTCTGACCCGCTGCTGACAGGCGTGACTCATATTGTGGTGGACGAGATTCACGAGCGGGGCATGAATGAAGGTGAGTGGGGGGAGGGGAGGTGGTAACTGGGTAGCGGGTTTTGCTGTAACCATTTAATTCGCTGCTGACAGGCATGACGTGACGCATATTGTGGTGGACGAGATTCACGGGTGAGGAATGAATGAAGGCGAGGAGGGAGGGGAAGGGATGGGGATGGGGCTGGGAGGGGTCAGTGTTGTGATGTGTTGCATTGGTGTCCGACCTGCTGCTGACAGGCGTGAGTCACATTGTGGTGGACGACATTCAAGAGAGAGGCATGAACGAGGGTGAGCATGTGGGATGGAGGGGAGGTGGTAACTGGGTTACAGGCTGTGCTCCTACCATCCGACCTGCTGCTGACGGGCGGGACTCATATTGTGGTGGACGAGATTCACGAGAGGGGCATGAATGAGGGTGAGCGGGGGAAGGGGAGGGAGAAGGCGTATGAGAGGCTTACAACCTTGTGAACCATCGCTGACAGGCGTGAATCTCAGGCGTCTTTTGAATCGACTCAAAAGTCACCTCGTTACAATGGCACACGAAGGCGTATGAGAGGCTTACAACCTTGTGAACCATCGCTGACAGGCTTGAATCTCAGGCTTGAATCTCAGGCTTGAATCTCAGGCTTGAATCTCAGGCTTGAATCTCAGGCGTGAATCTCAGGCGTGAATCTCAGGCGTGTGACAAGTAAATGAGATTCACCAGAGGGCCATGAGCGTTGAATTCCTATTGTTCATTCTCTCGTCCTTCACAACCAGACTTTCTTCTCATCATCTTGAGACCCTCAGCCATGAAGACCGGGTGAGCTGCAGCTGAGGAGACATTAGAAACTTTTGAAATCAAGCTTTTCTTCTCCTCGCCTTGAGACCCACCTGCTCTCCCACCATCCCACTTGCTCTGAAGCTGGACTGGAGTAACGTCTGAAAATGCTCCAAACGTGATTCTTCTACTCCCCCATGTCTTCCGTCCCTCCTACTACCCTACAACCAGACTTCCTCCTCATTGTTTTGAGAGACCTGCTCCCCCGCCGGCCCGATCTAAAGCTTGTGCTCATGAGCGCTACGCTCAACGCGGACCTCTTCTCGCACTACTTCAGTGGCGCGCCCACCCTGCACATCCCGGTGAGTGCGTGCTGGCAGTGACTGTTAAAGTGACAGGTGTGTAGGGTGCACTCATGAGCGCCACTCTCAACTCAGACCTCTTCCCGCAGTACTTCAGCGGTCCTCGCTCCCACCCTGCACATCCCGGTATGTGCTGCTGATGGTAACTGAGGTGATAGTTGAAGGAATTGTCTGCGGCCGGCATATCCCTCTCAGTGCCACTGACCGCCACTCTCAACGCGGACCTCTTCCCGCAGTACTTCAGCCGTGCTCCCGCACTTCACATCCCAGTGAGTGCTGTTGGCAGTGGAAGGTGGCAGTAGGGCACATACCCATCTCACGATGTGTCTCTCAGTGCTCATGCTTATGAGCGACTTTTGAGGTGCCTCCAAACTCTCTGTGCCTAATGAGAGCCACTGTCAACAATGACCTGTTCTCGCAGTCCTTCAATGGCGCGCCCACCCTGCACATTCTAGTGGTGAGTGCTCATGGCAGTATCTATGTCCTGACGGGACAGCTGAAGAGCTAGATGAAGCCTGAAGGGATAGGTCAGAGGGGGGGTAGGTGAGGGGATAGGTGAGGGGATGAATGAGGGGATAGCTGAGAGGAGATTGCTAAGAGGAGATTGCTAAGAGGAGATTGCTAAGAGGAGATTGCTGAGAGAGTATAGCTGAGCAGCAGGAAATATCAGTTTCCACAATTTCAACTCCCCTTATTGCTCCCACTTCCTTGAATACTTGGAAACGTCCCACCATCTCCACCACTCCGCTCTTCCCATTTTCCTAACCCCACTAGGGCATCACCTCCCCTATGCGTCCGTACATTTTGGATCAATCACTTCATGCGAATCCTGGCTAAATCCCCAAACCCTGTTTTTCCTTCCCTGAACCCCCACCTGATTCTTTCCCCTCCCTGACCCCCCACCTGATTCTTTCCCCTCCCTGACCCCCCACCTGATTCTTTCCCCTCCCTGACCCCCCACCTGATTCTTTCCCCTCCGTCCGTTGAAACATCTCAGGGATTCACATACCCTGTGCGGTCCTACTTTCTAGAAGATGTCTTGGAGCTCACAGGGCATGAGGTCACATTTTATAACCAGGTGAGATAAGAAACTCCCCCCCCCCCCCCCCCCCAAACACACCCTCCCTCTTCGAACGAATAATCCATCCCCACCCCAATGCCTCTCCCCTTTTTCTATCTGTATTTCGTGTGTATCCTCTGGGGAAAAAGAGAGTAACGCTTTTTTCTTCTTCTTCTTCTTCTTCTTCTTCTTCTTCTTCTTCTTCTTCTTCTTCTTCTTCTTCTTCTTCTTCTTCTTCTTCTTCTTCTTCTTCTTCTTCTTCTTCTTCTTCTTCTTCTTCTTCTTCTTCTTCTTCTTCTTCTTCTTCTTCTTCTTCTTCTTCTTCTTCTTCTTCTTCTTCTTCTTCTTCTTCTTCTTCTTCTTCTTCTTCTTCTTCTTCTTCTTCTTCTTCTTCTTCTTCTTCTTCTTCTTCTTCTTCTTCTTCTTCTTCTTCTTCTTCTTCTTCTTCTTCTTCTTCTTCTTCTTCTTCTTCTTCTTCTTCTTCTTCTTCTTCTTCTTCTTCTTCTTCTTCTTCTTCTTCTTCTTCTTCTTCTTCTTCTTCTTCTTCTTCTTCTTCTTCTTCTTCTTCTTCTTCTTTCTTCTTCTTCTTCTTCTTCTTCTTCTTCTTCTTCTTCTTCTTCTTCTTCTTCTTCTTCTTCTTCTTCTTCTTCTTCTTCTTCTTCTTCTTCTTCTTCTTCTTCTTCTTCTTCTTCTTCTTCTTCTTCTTCTTCTTCTTCTTCTTCTTCTTCTTCTTCTTCTTCTTCTTCTTCTTCTTCTTCTTCTTCTTCTTCTTCTTCTTCTTCTTCTTCTTCTTCTTCTTCTTCTTCTTCTTCTTCTTCTTCTTCTTCTTCTTCTTCTTCTTCTTCTTCTTCTTCTTCTTCTTCTTCTTCTTCTTCTCTTCTTCTTCTTCTTCTTCTTCTTCTTCTTCTTCTTCTTCTTCTTCTTCTTCTTCTTCTTTCTTCTTCTTCTTCTTCTTCTTCTTCTTCTTCTTCTTCTTCTTCTTCTTCTTCTTCTTCTTCTTCTTCTTCTTCTTCTTCTTCTTCTTCTTCTTCTTCTTCTTCTTCTTCTTCTTCTTCTTCTTCTTCTTCTTCTTCTTCTTCTTCTTCTTCTTCTTCTTCTTCTTCTTCTTCTTCTTCTTCTTCTTCTTCTTCTTCTTCTTCTTCTTCTTCTTCTTCTTCTTCTTCTTCTTCTTCTTCTTCTTCTTCTTCTTCTTCTTCTTCTTCTTCTTCTTCTTCTTCTTCTTCTTCTTCTTCTTCTTCTTCTTCTTCTTCTTCTTCTTCTTCTTCTTCTTCTTCTTCTTCTTCTCTTCTTCTTCTTCTTCTTCTTCTTCTTCTTCTTCTTCTTCTTCTTCTTCTTCTTCTTCTTCTTCTTCTTCTTCTTCTTCTTCTTCTTCTTCTTCTTCTTCTTCTTCTTCTTCTTCTTCTTCTTCTTCTTCTTCTTCTTCTTCTTCTTCTTCTTCTTCTTTCTTCTTCTTCTTCTTCTTCTTCTTCTTCTTCTTCTTCTTCTTCTTCTTCTTCTTCTTCTTCTTCTTCTTCTTCTTCTTCTTCTTCTTCTTCTTCTTCTTCTTCTTCTTCTTCTTCTTTCTTCTTCTTCTTCTTCTTCTTCTTCTTCTTCTTCTTCTTCTTCTTCTTCTTCTTCTTCTTCTTCTTCTTCTTCTTCTTCTTCTTCTTCTTCTTCTTCTTCTTCTTCTTCTTCTTCTTCTTCTTCTTCTTCTTCTTCTTCTTCTTCTTCTTCTTTCTTCTTCTTCTTCTTCTTCTTCTTCTTCTTCTTCTTCTTCTTCTTCTTCTTCTTCTTCTTCTTCTTCTTCTTCTTCTTCTTCTTCTTCTTCTTCTTCTTCTTCTTCTTCTTCTTCTTCTTCTTCTTCTTCTTCTTCTTCTTCTTCTTCTTCTTCTTCTTCTTCTTCTTCTTCTTCTTCTTCTTCTTCTTCTTCTTCTTCTTCTTCTTCTTCTTCTTCTTCTTCTTTCTTCTTCTTCTTCTTCTTCTTCTTCTTCTTCTTTCTTCTTCTTCTTCTTCTTCTTCTTCTTCTTCTTCTTCTTCTTCTTCTTCTTCTTCTTCTTCTTCTTCTTCTTCTTCTTCTTCTTCTTCTTCTTCTTCTTCTTCTTCTTCTTCTTCTTCTTCTTCTTCTTCTTCTTCTTCTTCTTCTTCTTCTTCTTCTTCTTCTTCTTCTTCTTCTTCTTCTTCTTCTTCTTCTTCTTCTTCTTCTTCTTCTTCTTCTTCTTCTTCTTCTTCTTCTTCTTCTTCTTCTTCTTCTTCTTCTTCTTCTTCTTCTTCTTCTTCTTCTTCTTCTTCTTCTTCTTCTTCTTCTTCTTCTTTCTTCTTCTTCTTCTTCTTCTTCTTCTTCTTCTTCTTTCTTCTTCTTCTTCTTCTTCTTCTTCTTCTTCTTCTTCTTCTTCTTCTTCTTCTTCTTCTTCTTCTTCTTCTTCTTTCTTCTTCTTCTTCTTCTTCTTCTTCTTCTTCTTCTTCTTCTTCTTCTTCTTCTTCTTCTTCTTCTTCTTCTTCTTCTTTCTTCTTCTTCTTCTTCTTCTTCTTTCTTCTTCTTCTTCTTCTTCTTCTTCTTCTTCTCTCTTCTTCTTCTTCTTCTTCTTCTTCTTCTTCTTCTTCTTCTTCTTCTTCTTCTTCTTCTTCTTCTTCTTCTTCTTCTTCTTCTTCTTCTTCTTTTCTTCTTCTTCTTCTTCTTCTTCTTCTTCTTCTTCTTTCTTCTTCTTCTTCTTCTTCTTCTTCTTCTTCTTCTTCTTCTTCTTCTTCTTTCTTCTTCTTCTTCTTCTTCTTCTTTTCTTCTTCTTCTTCTTCTTCTTCTTCTTCTTCTTCTTCTTTCTTCTTCTTCTTCTTCTTCTTCTTCTTCTTCTTCTTCTTCTTCTTCTTCTTCTTCTTCTTCTTCTTTCTTCTTCTTCTTCTTCTTCTTCTTCTTCTTCTTCTTCTTCTTCTTCTTCTTCTTCTTCTTCTTCTTCTTCTTCTTCTTCTTCTTCTTCTTCTTTCTTCTTCTTCTTCTTCTTCTTCTTCTTCTTCTTCTTCTTCTTCTTCTCTTCTTCTTCTTTCTTCTTCTTCTTCTTCTTCTTCTTCTTCTTCTTCTTCTTTCTTCTTTCTTCTTCTTCTTCTTCTTCTTTCTTCTTCTTCTTCTTCTTCTTCTTCTTCTTTTCTTCTTCTTCTTCTTCTTCTTCTTCTCTTCTTTCTTCTTCTTCTTCTTCTTTCTTCTTCTTCTTCTTCTTTCTTCTTCTTCTTCTTCTTCTTCTTCTTCTTCTTCTTCTTCTTCTTCTTCTTCTTCTTCTTCTTCTTCTTCTTCTTCTTCTTCTGCTTCTTCTTCTTCTTCTTCTTCTTCTTCTTCTTCTTCTTCTTCTTCTTCTTCTTCTTCTTCTTCTTCTTCTTCTTCTTCTTCTTCTTCTTCTTCTTCTTCTTCTTCTTCTTCTTCTTCTTCTTCTTCTTCTTCTTCTTCTTCTTCTTCTTCTTCTTTCTTCTTCTTCTTCTTCTTCTTCTTCTTCTTCTTCTTCTTCTTCTTCTTCTTCTTCTTCTTCTTCTTCTTCTTCTTCTTCTTCTTCTTCTTCTTCTTCTTCTTCTTCTTCTTCTTCTTCTTCTTCTTCTTCTTCTTCTTCTTCTTCTTCTTCTTCTTCTTCTTCTTCTTCTTCTTCTTCTTCTTCTTCTTCTTCTTCTTCTTCTTCTTCTTCTTCTTCTTCTTCTTCTTCTTCTTCTTCTTCTTCTTCTTCTTCTTCTTCTTCTTCTTCTTCTTCTTCTTCTTCTTCTTCTTCTTCTTCTTCTTCTTCTTCTTCTTCTTCTTCTTCTTCTTCTTCTTCTTCTTCTTCTTCTTTCTTCTTCTTCTTCTTCTTCTCTTCTTCTTCTTCTTCTTCTTCTTCTTCTTCTTCTTCTTCTTCTTCTTCTTCTTCCTTCTTCTTCTTCTTTCTCTTCTTCTTCTTCTTCCTTCTTCTTCTTCTTCTTCTTCTTCTTCCTTCTTCTTCTTCTTCTTCTTCTTCTTCTTCTTCTTCTTCTTCTTCTTCTTCTTCTTCTTCTTCTTCTTCTTGTTCTTCTTCTTCTTCTTCTTCTTCTTCTTCTTCTTCTTCTTCTTCTTCTTCTTTCTTCTTCTTCTTCTTCTTCTTCTTCTTCTTTCTTCTTCTTCTTCTTCTTTCTTCTTCTTCTTCTTTCTTCTCTTCTTCTTCTTCTTCTTCTTCTTCTTCTTCTTCTTCTTCTTCTTACTTCTTCTTCTTCTTCTTCTTCCTTCTTCTTCTTCTTCTTCTTCTTTCTTCTTCTTCTTCTTCTTACTTCTTCTTCTTCTTC